AATGCCAACAAAGTTCTGTGGTAATTAGTTTTCGTATAAATAGACTCATGCTTCAGTCATATGTTATGGATGTTAGCCTACTTTTTAGTCTTTAAATTGATATATGAAGCCAACTCCATTTATTTGTAATATATACATATTATATACCTATTAAGCTTTCAATAATTATTTTTTCAGAACCAACAAGCCAAAATAGCACAATTGTACCTTCCCTTTGTTGGACTACTTTTGGAAAATATACAGCGATTAGCAGGTCGAGATACCTTGTATTCTTGTGCAGCCATGCCTAATTCTGTAAGTAGTAACATGTTTCTGTTGGGAGTTTTATCCTGTTTTATTGAATGCATTTGGAATTAGGGTCATATGCTATATGATCTCAAGAGTTCACTTTTTTTGGTTTGTTTTTTAAGCCAGAGTCTCGCTCTATCACCCAGGCTGGAGTGTAGTGGCACAATCATAGTTCACTGTAGTCTCAAACTCCTGTGCTCAAGTGATCCTCCTGCTTTGGCCTCCCGAGTAGCTGGGACTAAAGGCATACGCCACCACGCCCAGCTAATGTTTTAAATTTTTAGCAGAGACAAGGTCTCACTGTGCAGCCCAGGCTGGTCTCAAACTCCTAAGCTCAAAGAATCCTACCGCCTCAGCCCCCTGAAGTGCTGGGATTACAGGCATGAGCCACTGTGCCCAGCCAAGAGTTCATTTTTTACTCCATGTACACTGTTTTTCCTAATACAGTGCTTTGCAAACTTTAATGTGCATATGAATCACCTGGGGAATTTGTTAAAACAGATTTTTTTTTTTCAAGACAGAGTCTCGCTCTGTCACCCAGGTTGGAGTGCAGTAGCGTGATCTCGGCTCACTGCAGCCTCCGCCTCCTGGTTTCAAGGGATTCTCCTGCCTCAGCCTCCTGAATAGGTGGGACTACAGGTGCCAGCCACCATGCCTGGCTAATTTTTTTGTATATTTAGTAGAGATGGGGTTTCACCATGTTAGCCAGACTGGTCTGGAACTCCTGACCTCAGGCGATCCACCTACCACGGCCTCCCAAAGTGCTGGGATTACAGGCATGAGGTACCACGCCCAGCCAACAGATTCTAATTCAATAGGCTTGGGGTGGGACTTGAGAGCATGCATTTCTAACAAGCTTTTGACT